CCATTCATGTAAAATTGTAAGAACAAGACTAGGTGAAGAGGGCACCAAGTACGTGTAGATATTTTTTCCAAACACCATGTGTGGTTGTTCAGAAGAAAGGTTTTTGGTCTCTTCACTGTGGTCTAACAACTCTAGTAAGACAGATTCCAAATACTGTCATTATGATGGCGACCTATGAACTGGTGGCTGACCTACTCAACAGTTAGCAACATCTGCCTGCCATCCTATAAAGGACAATCAAAAGATTGCAGTGGAACATGGAAAATTGAAGCCAGCTTGGTAGAAAGAGAAGACTAGTTTGGGAACATGTAACTATGCCCAAATGTGAGTTTGGTTTTAGGATTAAAGTAATGACACATTACTTGCTTTTTGGGCAACGTGGAAAGAACTTTGGCTGCCTCTAAGGACACGCCATTAAAAACACTCTCTCAAAAAAACCAAAAAACAAAAAGCAAATGCAGCCCTTGGGTGGCTCAGTCAATTATGTGTCCAACTCTTTGATTTTGGCTCAAGTCATGATCTCACAGTTTGTGAGATAGAGCCCCACAGCGGGCTCCATGCTGACAGTGTAGAACCTGCCTGGGATTCTCTCTCCCCCTCTCTCTGCCCCTCCCCTGCTTGTGCACTCACCTCTCTCTCTCTCAATAAAAAAATAAACTTAAAAAGAACTGCAAAATAGCAACAATAATAGGAGATCTTCTGTATCAATTTCATGTTTTTGTGAGCAGCCTGGCAGAGTATTTTAAAGTTTAACCAATGGAACAGGACAGACAGGCCAGAAATAAACCCCCATGCATAAGATTAAATGATCCTTGATAAGGGTGCCAAGACCTCATGATGAGAAAAAGACAGTCTCTTTAACAAATGGTTCTGATGAAATTGGCTACCCACATAGGGGAAAAACCTCATGACATTGCATTTGGCAATGATTTCTTAGGTAGAGTACTAAAAGCCCAGGCAAAAATAGACAAAAATAGACAAAATAGACAAAAATAGACAAAAGCAAAAATAGACAAATGGGACTACATCAAACTTAAAAACTTTCACTATGAAAGGAAACAATCAAAAAAGTAAAAGGCAACCTTCAGAACAGAAGAAAATATTTGCAAATCACATATCTGATAAGGGGTTAATATCCAGCATATATAAAGAACTCTTCCAATTCAACAACAAAGCTACCCTATTAAAAAAACTGGCAAAGGACTTGAACAGACACTTCCCCAAAGATATACAATTGAGCAAGCATTTTAAAACATGTTCAACATCACTAATCATCAGAGAAACACAAATCAAAACTATAATGAGATATTGCCTCAAAGCCATTAGGATGGCCACTATCAAAACAAAACTAAACAGAAAATAACAAGTGTTGACGAGGATGTGGAGAAACTGGAATCCTTGTGCCCTGTTGGTGGGAATGTAAAATGGTGTGATCACTATAGAAAACAGTATGGAGATTCCTAAAAAAATTAAAGTGGTGCCTGGATGGCTCAGTCGGTTAAGGGTTGGACTCTTGATCTCAGCTTAGGTCATGATCTTGTGGCTTGTGAGCTTGAGACCAACATCTGGCTCCCTGCTGGCAATGCGGAGCCAGCTTCAGATCCTCTGTCCCCCTCTTTCTGCCCCTCCCCTGCTCGTGCGTGCACATGCACATCCTCGCTCTCTCTCTCCCCCTCAAAAATAAACATTAAAAATAAAAAAGAAAACGGAGACGGGTGGAAGACCACAGGGTGATAAAAATATGAGGGAACTAGATAATCGTGATATTGCACAACACTGTGAATGTACCAAATGCCAATGTACTACACACTTTACAATGGTTAAAAAGGTAAATTTTGTTATGTATATCTTACCATGATTTTTTTTTTTTTTTAATTAAAAAGAGAAGGGACACCTTGGTGGCTCAGTTGATTAAGCGTCCAGCTCTGGATTTTGGCTCAGGTCATGATCTCACAGTTCATGGGTTCAAGCACCACATCAGACTCTGTGCTGACAATACACAGAGCCTGCTTGGGATTCCCTGTCTCTCCTCTCTCTCCCCTCTCCCTGCTCTTTCTCTCTCTCTCTCACTCTCACAAAATTAATTAATTAATTTAAAAAAAAAAAAAAAGAGCATTGGGTGTCTGAGTTGGCTCAGTCGGCTGAGCATCCAATGCTGACTCGGGTCATGATCTCACGGCTTGTGAGTTCAAGCCCCATGTTGGGCTCTGTGCTGACTGCTCAGAGCCTGGAGCCTGCTTTGGATTCTGTGTCTCCCTCTCTCTCTCAAAAACAACCATTAAAAATTTTTTTTAAAAAAGAGCACTTTCCAGAAAAAATATAAATTATCACAATTGACTCAAGAAATGCAACAGGTGAATGTTTAGATTCAGTATTCAGAACTAGGAAATCTATTCATATAATCCAGACTTGACAGATTAAAAAAGAAAACTTAATATGAAAAGGTGGATGCTTCTTTAATTAAATATCTCTATCTCATTCTTGAATCTAATATTATGCTTCATGAGAAGCCACTTACAATATTCCTATTAAGGTTAAGAACAAGATTAGGACATAAACTACCCCCATTAACATTGTTCTGGGGGTACTACGTAATCAGCACCTTCATCAGGCAAAAGAAAACCCAAGTGGTATAAAAATGCAAAAACATTATCACCATTTGCAGATGATATGATTGACTACTTGGAAAATTCGAGTATTACATGAAAGCTATTATAAATAATGAGAAAATCCAGTATGTTGGGTTAATTACAAAATTAATCTGAAGACATGAATGGCTTTTGCCTTATATAAAACAACCAGTTGAACTCTAATAGGGATGCAAGGCCCCCATTTCCAGTAACAGCAATAAATACGTAATACCTAGGAATAAATATAATATGAAATGGACAAGACCATATAAATAAAACTCTACAACAACCAGGAAAGGCACATAAATGAACGGAAAAGCCTATCATTGTTCTTAAATAGATAAAATCGATTTAAAAAATCAGTTTTCTCCTCAATTAATCTAGAAATTTACTGTGATCTCAGTAAGAATAATTACATGGTTGTTTTTTAAACCAGATATTCTAATTCTAAAGTTCAAATGGAAAAACAAATGAGTATAGTCAGGAAAATTCTGAAAAATAAGAATGAGGAGGAACTATCCACCAGATATTTAAAACCTTCAGTAATTAAAACAATATGGTATCGGTCACGTAGTTAGACAAAGACATTAACGAGACAGAAACGAAAGTCCACAAACAGATCCAGAGGTAACAGAGCAGATGATAAAGGTGGCTAGGGAAATTAGTGGTGAAAAGATAAAATCAGTTAACAAATGCTGTTTGAATAACTGGGTAACAACCTGAGAAATAACGTGAAATCACATCTTGCGTGAAGAATAAACACCACAGGAATCATTAAGAGCACCATAAATATACTAGAAAAAAAAATCACAAGAGACTCATTTTATAATGTCAAAGGGGGAGGTCTTCTTTAAACATGATGTAAATCCACACACCTAAGAAGTAAATAAAACTCAGCACATCAATCAAACATATGCTGTCAAACTCAAATGACAAAACAAAAGCAAAACTGACATTATGGGTGTGGTTGGCAGAATGGCCTCCCAAAGATCCCCATGTCCTAATCCCCAGAACCTGTGAATATGTTCACACATACAGCTGCACACATCGTCTCTCCTGATGCTCACTCCACACTCGACCTCACTCACTCCCCGAGGCCAACTACCACTTCAACGTGGACGAATCTTCCACATCTGAAGTCACTCTGGCTGCTGTGTGAACAAAACACTTCAGGGGACGAGAATAGAAGCAGGGGGATGGGGAGGAGGCTACCGCAATAGTCTAAGCCAGAGATGACGGTGGTGTGGGTGAAGTGGGAGTGGTGCCGGCGAGAAGTGGTTAAATTCTGGACATAGTTCAAGGTAGAGCTAACAGGATTTGCTGACAGTCTGGATAGGTATGCGAGAGAGAAAATCCAAGAATGCTTCAAGAGTTTCTTACTTGACCAAGTACAAGAATTGAGTACCCTATTGCTAAAGTGTGGAAGAAAGAGAGAAGGGCGGATTGTTAGGATCAAGGACTCCTCACTGGAAAGTTAAATTCATAGCGCCCCATGAACACTGAAGTGGACATGATGAGAAGGCAGGTGGATAAGTATGTGGAGTTTAAAGGAGAAGTTGAAGACGATGGAAATGTTCTGTATCTGCACTGCGTCCCGTGGACACAAGCCAGCCAGAGTGGCTATTGGATATTTGAAATGGGGCAAGTGCAACTGAGATACTGATTTTTTAAATGTGTTTAACTGCAATGAATTTGAATTACAATGTCCACATGGGGCTCCACGATGGACAATGTAGGTATGAATGGTATTTAAAGCACAGTAATGGAAAAAGATATATAATAAAGCAAAGTAATGGAGAAGGTTCTGAGGAAAGAAAATAAACAGGGAAGAAGAAACCCAAGTCTGAGCCCCAGGTGCTCCAACATTTAAAGAAAGTGAGGGGGCACCTGGGTGGTGCAGTCGGTTAAGAGTCCGACTTCAGTCAGGTCACGATCTCGCGGTCTGTGAGTTCGAGCCCCGCGTCGGGCTCTGGGCTGATGGCTCGGAGCCTGGAGACTGCTTCCGATTCTGTGTCTCCCTCTCTCTCTGCCCCTCCCCCGTTCATGCCCTGTCTCTCTCTGTCCCAAAAATAAATAAAAACGTTGAAAAAAAAATTTAAAAATAAAGAAAGTGAGAAGATTCACCAAAGGAGGCTGAGGACGCTTTAACCAGGTAGGCAAGGACAAGAGGCAGTGATGACCCGGATACACAGAGATGTCTCAGGAAGAAAGGAACCACCTGACAGGCTAGAACAGATGGTGACTTGGACCTGGCCTCTGAGTCGGGCACCTCGAAGGGAAAATTTTCCAACTCCAAGCTCCTGCTTCCTCGTGCACCCGCTAGACAGGTATATGCAGCAGCTTCTCTCCTCCCACGCAGGCTTCACTCACCTGGGCACAGGCCTCCTGCTGCTGCTTTCTCCACCATCCAGGGCTCCTTGCCTTGCTCCAGGAAGGAGATCACGTCAGGTTTGGAGATGGTGAGACCTGGATGGGAGAGAAAACATGCCACCCAGTTATGGTGTGGGGCCCCCAGAATTCAGATCCAGGATCTGGTCATCGAGCAGGAGAGACCAGAGGAGGCCCGACAGTCCCCTGCAGGTTGGGGAAGATACAGTGTCGGCCCACGGAGCTGTTTTTTGAGCACTGAAAAGGTACCCGGAAATTGATAAGGAAGGAACGGATAACATCCAAACTAATACACCAGGTCCCCTTACCCAGTGAGACCAGGTTGCTGTACGTCTCCAACATCACGTCTCTGTACAAATCCCTCTGAGCAGGTGCCAGTCGTTCCCATTCTTCTTGGGAGAAGACTACGGCCACATCCCTGAACAAGTCTGACTCCTGAAACAACAGGCATGTTTGTTATCTGCAAACTTCAAGGAAATGTTTCTTGATGGGATGAGAGAAGACAGAGGCGGTCTCTGCAGGAATGGGGTGCTCAGGTGAAAAGCAGGCTGGGGTGGGAGGCCTCCAATGTGAGCAGGTGACAAGAGAGGGTGGGCATGAGGAAAACGGTGTTGAAATGTTGTTGAACGTTCTTTTTACTACAAACCAAAGCTCTGTACACAGATCTGGGAGGAAAATTAAAAGCCAGCTAAGTAGAGTTTTCCCCAGTGTGACAAACTTTATAAAATAGCATGCTGCCCACTCTGTCCTTGGCATATAAAAATTCTCAACTAGAGACCTGTAATTTCAACTTCTATGCAGCAACAACAAACCAAACCAACAATTTGATAGACTTACCCCCAAATGTTTTCCTGAAGAAATGTTTCTATCTTAGAAAATAGGATATTTGTATAAATTGAGAGTTAGTTGAAGATACAGGTTCATCATGATGTCAACATATCAAAGCATTCTTCCTTAGGAGAAAACTCTTAAATTAAGATTATTTTCATTGGCTGTACAATTTTCTACCAAGTGAAAAAATGACTCAACCGTTCTCTTATTTTGGAGGCAGAGGTTGGATCAGATCTCTGAAGGCTCTTCGAAGCTCAGACTACCTAGATTCCGAAAAATTCATCCATCGGGCTGGTTATCTCACAACCCCCACATTTGCACTTCTCTTGGTCTTAAGCTGAAGAAGCTGTTGAAGAATGATCCACATTCAAATGCTCTGTTCAACCTTAAAGTGGACCTTACTTCTGGTGTCTAACCTCTCGGATTCCCGGCGAAGCCTAAGTTACACACCCAGTCATCAATCCCTCCCAAAGCAGGAGATCGTGCCTCACCCTGAAATTGAAACCAACCAAGACCAGTTCCCATGCTTTTCCATGTCAGTTATCACAAGAATTCATCTCTATTTCATCCACCCTTGGTTCTCATTTTATACAAGGAAATGGACCCCTGCTCTATCTAGCCTCCCGGCACAATATCACACTATCACATGTGGAATGCTGTACAGAACGAATCCATGGGCAGTAGTCAGAGTAGAGGGGGCAGTGGGAGAGGGTACTAGCTACCTGGTCTTTTTAGTCCCTAAAATGGGAACCTCTGAAAACCAGATTCTTGGATGAAATCCATGTGGGAAGCTTCAAGATAAAGAAAGGAAATATTTACACAACTTTAAGACTCACAAGGGACATGACTTTTAGAATGTCATGGGCTGACTGGTCCTCCTCCTGGTTCCTCTCTTGGGGAAGGGCAGAGTCCTGAGATGGCAGAGCTGGGGGAGGAAAGAACAAACATGAGAGGCCAAGCTTGCCTTACAGCTCCCAGAATGCCGTGGTTACAAGTCCCTGCCTTCTTACGCCCCACTCCCCACAAGAATTGGAGTTGGATCACAGTGGCCCTTACCCAACTCCAGGAAACACAGCATTAGCTGTTGCTACGTGACAGGGAACCAGTGGCCCTTTCTCTCCGATTTCTCCTAAATATCCAGAGAATTCCAACTTGTTACTGATGCAAATCTGTGGCAGGGAGCTCAGTCCTGGTCCAGTGACTAAGGCCACATGGTGTCCCAAGGACAAGAAAGACTGTTCTCAGACCAGGGAGCACAGCCTACCTCATCAGCATCAGCCCAGCCCACAATGAAAGCCTTCCCAGAAACAGACCATCTAACTCTCTCATGCCCACCTTCACAGGTCTCCCTGGCTCTTTACCCAACTTCCAAATTCACCAAGAACCTTACAGCCCTACCTAAGGCCTAGTGGACATCACTTTGTGGACCTTGCCTTGACTCAATAAAAGGGGTGTGGGTGCAGTGGGCAAATCATTACCATCACATACATAGGCCTCTGTACAGAGACATAGCAGCGAGCAAAGCTGTGTGCACAGTATTTACTGAAAAACAGAACAAAAATTAGTATCTAGCAGTCCACAAGTAGGCAAGTAGTTGAATCACTTTTGGCCCAGCCGTATGATGGAACACCAAATAACTATCAAAACTGATGGGGGGGCAACATTAACTTACAAGGAAAGACATTCACAAGCAGTCTCTTTATACAACATGAGAACATTCCGGAAAAGAGGTCAAACCCACCCTCCTACTGGCACATGGGCTTACAAAAACAACTGGAATAAAAACATCCAAGTATTAAGAATCATGTCATTTAACCACTTCGTGAGTTCATCATTAAACGAGTACTATTGTCGAAAGGAACTTAGAACAATGCCTTGCATGTTACAAATATTTAATTCTAAGTAATGTGTACATGAAACAATTGGTAACATGTCATAGGAGTTTTTTTTTTTTATTATGACCACTGTTTTAGCATTATCTGTAATAGCTTTGTAATATTTTATTACAAGAGTGGCCCATGATTTACCCAACCGTTTCCCCACTGTTGGACAAGGACTATTTTACAAGATCATCTAAAATGTTCTCAAATTTCAGTCTCCACTTCTAAACTAGTGGTGTTAAATCTTTTGAAGTTTTGCAATTCTTTGAGAATCTTATCAAACAAGACTCCATCCCAAATTAAAAAAAAAAGGGGGGGGCACGAGTACAGCATGACTGTAAAACATCCACCAGCATTTCCAGGAAGTCAGGTCCCTTTCACCCCCACCTAAGTGGTCCACAGATGGGGGCTATGAGCCGGGACGCGGAAAGGGGGCGCTAGCGGGGGGGGGGGGGGGTGCGCCGCGGAGGCCGATGGGAAATGTAGTCCAGATCCCGGAAAGCCGCAGACCGACGCGGGGGCGAGACGTTCCGGTTCTTCCCAGGCCCGAGAGCCGCCCGGCCGTGGCGCCCGCTCCCGCACGGACCCCGGAGAGCCTGGCAAGCTCCAGAGCCCCTCACCTGCCTCCTCTTCGAATCCAGGTGCCACCGTGGCCGCGCTCCCCGCAGACCCGGGTGCGCTTCCTCCTCGGTATCGGCGGACCCGCCGCCTGAAGCCGGAAGATAGCGCAGGCGCACAACGCCCCGCGGACGCTGCCTCGCGAGTGGGCCAACGCCGCAGTCTCTTCTGGGAAACGTAGTTTCTGGGCGCAGAGGCACAGCCAGGCCTCAAAGCCGGATCTCGCGATGTTTCGGGGTGGGCGTGGCTCCGGTGTGCCTCGAGGGAGAGAGTTCAAGTTCCCGCGTGGCTGCGGGCGGGTTTGTGCATCAGGTGCTTAGTGTGTGTGCCATCGCGTCTTGCGTGGCCGTTGCGGTGTGTGTCGTGTGGTTCGGACCTGTCGTTGGGTCTGACTGGGACCGTGCCACTCCGGGAACACGCTCGTGGGTGACCGTCAAAGTGTCTCATTCTTACATCATCGTTTTCCGCGCGGAGCGGCCACTTTACCAGAAGTTTCAGAAGGAGAAAAACTCCCGAGTTTATCCGGTAACTAACTTTAAACGTCATTACATATGTTGAAATAAATGTAGGTTATGAAGGAGAGTGCGGAATAAGCAAAAACGTTTTTTAAGTTTGTTTTATTTTTTTAATTTTTTAACGTCTTTATTTTCGAGAGAGAGGCACACACAGAGTGTGAGCGGGGGAGGGGCGGAGAAAGAGGGAGACACGGAATCCATAGCAGGCTCCAGGCTCCGAGCTGTCAGCACAGAGCCCGATGTGGGACTGGAACCCAGGAACCATGAGATCATGACCTGAGCCGAAGTCGGAGGCTCAACGGACTGAGCCACCCAGGTGCCCCTGTTTTTTATTATTTGTAATCTCTACAGCCAACTCAGGAGGCTTGAGCACCAGACCCCAACATCAAGCGTCGCATGCTCTTCCCACTGAGCCAGATGGATGCCCAGCAAAAATGTTTTAAACAAGATGACAAGGAGTTTCCGCTTGTGGGGGACAGCTCTAGGCCAAGTCCCCCAGAACCACAGGCAGTTGGATCTCTGTGTGCAAGTTTGAAAAGCTCCTAGACCTTACGCATCCCCAAACGGCGTGGTCCAGTGTGGTCGAGCTTCCCATGTCCTGGATGCTGGTCAGGCGGTGTGAGTCCTGATCCCTGAGTGAGGAAGCCTTACTCTGCCCACGCGGTACAGTTGTCCTTGAGCTGGCCTGGAGTCCAGAGCTCCTGTCTCTCCAACTGGTCTTGTTTCCCTCACACCATGTAATCTGTCGTCTTCTTTTGAATCATTTCATCTGACGTTTGCCCGTGTCTGCATTGTTGCACATCTCAAGGATGTCTGCGCCTCCAAGTTAACTTAGAAATTTAACTTAAACCCGATAAAAATGCCAATACTGTTTTCCCCCTTGGAAATAGATAAGTTGATAAAAATGTCCAAATAATAAAAAAAAGAATGCCTAGGAATAGGAATGCTCTGAAAAAGAAAAGCTGAGAAGGTGTGCTAAACCTGCCAGATAGTAAAACATTCTAAAAAGTTTCCATAATTTATTTATTTTTTTTATTTTTTTTAAAGGTTTTTTTTTCCAACGTTTATTTATTTTTGGGACAGAGAGAGACAGAGCATGAACGGGAGAGGGGCAGAGAGAGAGGGAGACTCAGAATCGGAAACAGGCTCCAGGCTCTGAGCCATCAGCCCAGAGCCTGACGCGGGGCTCGAACTCATGGACCACGAGATCGTAACCTGGCTGAAGTCGGACGCTCAACCGACTGCGCCACCCAGGCGCCCCCATAATTTATTTTTTTAATGTTTATTTTTATTTTTGAGGGAGAGAGAGAGAGAAAGGGAAACAGAATCCGAAGCAGGCTCCAGGCTCCGCGCTATCAGCACAGAGCCCAACATAGGGCTTGAACTCACAAACCGTGAGATCATGACCTGAGCTGAAGTCAGACGCTCAACCGACTGAGCCACCCACGCGCCCCAAAAATGGACTTTTTAATAAATAACCTTGGGGAATAACTGGATAGTCATTTAGAAAAAAGTAAAATTGGGTTCATACTTCAAATCATGCAAGAGAATAAACTCGAACAAATTGCTCAGAGGTCTAAATTGATACAAGTACCAGAAACGTACAGAGTTGAATTCCATTGCAGCCTGGATATGTGAAAAGACTTTCTAGCAATGATACAAAAATCCAGACTTAAGACTGCTACCTTTGAGAACGTAAAACTAAAGCACTTTTGTGTGGCAAAATACACTGTAAGCAAAGGTTAAAGACAAATGACAGGCAGAGAATGTTTACAACCTTGGATATATATATATCAGATAATATATAAAGACAAAAAACTGCAAGCAACTTTGAACTCAATTTAGAAGATTTGTTTTTGTCATAACATAGGTGTAGTGATTTGGAAACTATTTTATATGTACCATAGAATTAAATGAATGAATAAATGTATTGATGGGAGCCAGTGTTTTACTGTGGGACAAGAGAGATCTAGAAGATGATGGAAGGTGAGAAAGAAACTGTGATGTTCAACTGGTATAAACTCATGATGGAAAATGTGGGTGTATGGGGCACGTGGGCGATTCAGTGCGTTGAGTGTCTGACTCTAGATTTTGGCTCAGGTTGTGATCTCACGGTTCATGAGATGAAGCCTCGAGTGAGGCTCTGCGCTGACATCCGGGTGCCTACTTGGGATTCTCTCTCTCCCTCGCTCTCAGCCCCTCCCCCACAGGCATGCGCGCACAAATGTCTCTCTGTCTCTGTCTCTGTCTCTCTCTCAAGTATTTTTTTATACGTTTATTTATTTTTGAGACAGAGAGAGACAGAGCATGAACAGGGGAGGGGCAGAGAGAGAGGGAGACACAGAATCGGAAACAGGCTCCGGGCTCTGAGCGGTCAGCACAGAGCCCAACGTGGGGCTCGAACTCATGGACTGTGAGATCATGACCTGAGCAGAAGTCGGACGCTTAATGACTGAGCCACCCAGGCGCCCCTCAAGTATTTTTTTAAACCAAGAAAACTATGTATGAGTAAAGTATGGACATTAGTTAATAATAATATATCAATGTTGGCTCGATAACTAACAAAAGCATCATACTAAAGTGTTAACAGTAGGTACAGGGCATTTGGGAACTTTGAACTATCTGCAGTTTTTCTGTAACTCAAAAACTTCTAAAATAAAAAAGCTTAAACTTCTTCATTAAAGTCTTACTATTTTTTCTGGGGAAAAAAAAATGTGTTTGTGTATTTTCTATTTGGTGAATGGGCCTGGAAGCAATGATGCCCTGTAGCAATGAGCATAAACCTAATGCCCAGACCTTGGTTTCTAAATATCATTCTCTAAAAAAAAGAAACCAAAGCTTCCTGGAGAAGTATCTGATCTCAGGACTGGGGCAGGGAACGTACACAATGAGTATAGGATATCTTCTTGTGCCAAAAAACATAGGGAAATGCTCAAAAAGCAGGGAGGATTGTCTGCTTTGAACTATGATAGTGTAATTGCGCTACACCTGCCATTGCATTCTAAACAAGAAGCTAGATAATGTGTAGGAAACAAGTCTTTTCAGATGTTGGACAGCAAGTAGTACAAGACTTTGAACCCTGAGAGAAGGGAAATAAGCGAGATTCTATCATCGCAGTGGCTTTCCCTTGGAAGACACACTACACACCGCAGAGCAGAGAGGAGGAACCAAGGCAGAGCACCGATTTGCTAAGTTGACACAAACAACAGTTTTGGGGAAATGAAGTGACTGGAATTCGTGGGGGCAAAGTGTGGAAGAGGAGTGGAGTTGGTATTTCCACCAAACAAGACCTACGTACCTGTGGGCGAGGCCATGCTACCTCCGCCCTCTGAATTGCGGATGAGCCAATACGGTGAAACCTTGGAGAATGCATAGTCGGAGACAGACATTTGCTTCATGATACCGCAGAGGTCACAATCCCTCACGGAAACAGAAGCAAACACAGAGAGTCTGGGCTGGGATCTGGAAGAGATAGGGTGTGAGGGTTTGCAGAGAAGAAGGTCACTGGGCCATTCCAGACATACCCAAGAAATGACCACAGAGAATAGAATTAACATCAGGACCTTTGGACAGGCCTGTAGAGTGGGTGGGTTGGCTGGACCTCCTGTGGCTGTGAGCATTAGGCAGAGACATGACCTGCCTGGGAACACATTTGAGCTGGGCCACAAAGCCCTAACGTGCTGAAGGCAAGGAGTCCCGGGTCCCCAAGTACGGGCGGGTAGAATGGCCAGCTAGTGCGGGCTGACTGGACTTAGATCTCAGGCAGACAAAGGGGTCCACCTTCTCTACTTGTCCCGACTTGTAGGATCAGGACTACATTTCCTATAAGTGACTGTGGCTCCAGGCCCACCATCTACCTCTCCCACTGGATGTGCACGTCAGGACTGATCTAGGAATAGAATGATACCAGAGGGGCATGGGAGAAGGGATTGGATTCTGTATATATGTTAAAGGTGGAGCTAGCGGGATTCACAGATTTACTGGGTGGAGTAGCAAGAGACTGGGAGTAGTGAAGGATAACTCCAGGGAATCCTGAGACAAGTAACTGGAAGAACAAACATCACCAACCGAGAGAGGAAAACACGCACAGAGAGGAGCAGCACATCTTTGGGGGTGATGTGCTTGGGTGTTTGGTTTCGAATGCGATAGTTTGACGTGTTTGTTAGACATACAAGTGGTAACGTGGAGGATCATTTTAGGGGCAGAGTCTGGGCTAGAATCTTAAGTTAGGAAATATTTTTATCGTGTAGCTAATTTATATTGTGATGTACTGAGGCAAATCAATGTTTTTCATTGATCCTCTCTACCTTTTTTTTTTTTGCTCAAAAATTGTTTTCCTACCCTAAATTATGAATGTTCATCTTTATTTTTCCGTAGAACTCTATGAGGATATTAAAAAATATCCTGTAATTTGTTATACCATAGAGTGTGATGAATCAATGCTATCTGTAATACTTGTACTTTGAAGATTTATTAAAGTTTCCCTCATCTATAAATGATTGATTGTAAATATTACACGGTTATTTTAAAAGAATGACTGGGGCGCCTGGGTGGTTCAGTTGGTTAAGCGTCCGACTTTGGCTCAGGTCATGATCTCACTGTTCGTGGGTTCAAGCCCCACATCCAGCTCTGTGCTGACAGCTCGGAGCCTGGAGCCTGCTTCAGATTCTGTGTCTTACTCTCTTTCTCTGCCCTACCCACCCCCCCATCTCAAAAATAAACATTTACAAAAAATTTTTTAAAATAAAAGAATGACTATTTTTTTTCCCTATACATAGTAGTTCTCTTTCATATCTCTTTGTTTAATTTTAATAGTACTCTGATGTGTTGGGTCATTTGGATCTATTTTTTATTCTTTGATGTGGTCTCATAATTTTAATTTCTTTGATGTTTGCATTAGATACCTACTGCTGCGTAACATATTACCTTAGAACTTAATGGCTTAAACAATAGTCAGCACTTACCATCTCTCACAGTGTCTGTGAGTCAGGGTTTCAGGAGCAGTTTAGCTGCGTGTAAGCAAGATGTCATTTGAAGGCTTAAATGGGGCCAGAATCTCTGCTTCCAGGTGCTCCATTCACATGGCTGGCGAATTGGCGCTGGCTTTTGACAATAGGCCCCGTTCCATTCCATGTAGGCCTCTCCATATGGCTGATTGTTTGCTATTTAGTTTGTTTGTTTGAGAGAGAGAAAGAGAGAGAGAGCCCAAGCAGGGGAGGGGGCAGAGGGAGAGAGAGAGAGTGTGTCTTAAGCAAGCTGTATACTCAACATGGAGCCTGACGCAGGGCTCGATCTCATGACCCTGGGATCATGTCCTGAGCCAAAACCAAGAGTCAGACACTCAAGCAACTGAGCCACCCAGGTGCCCCTGGCTGATTGTCTTTGTGACATGGTGGCTGGTTTCCCCTAGAATAAGTGATCCAGAAGCTACAATGTCTTTTATGGCCAAGCCTCTTACAGGCTGTCACAGAAGTCACATGCCGCCATACTCTGTTGGTCGCATAGACCAGACTGAGTCAGTGTGGATGGAGACTACACACTGGCGTGAATTCTAGGAGGCAAGGATCTTTGAGGACCATCTTGGAGGTTTGATACCACAATTTTTTCATCTTAAGAGCACATGAATGTCTGTCTGTCTGTCTCTCTACATATATATATATATATATATATATATATATATATATATATATATATATATATATATAATTTTTTTTCAGAGAGAGCTGGGAAGAGGGGGAGAGAGAGAGAGAGAGAGAGAGATAATCTCAAGCAGGCTCCACACCCAGCATGGAGCCCAATGTAGCGCTCAATCCCACAACCCTGGGATCATGACCTGAGTTGAAATCAAGAGTCAGATGTTCAATTGACTGAGCCACACAGGTGCCCCTACATGAACGTCTTGATGCCTCCCCATTCTATCAAATCCACAGATGCCATGCCAACCACTTCCCGAGAGATTGTCACTCTCCCTGTAAAGTCTCTTGAACCAAAGCACATGCTGAAAAACTCCAGCTCCCCTCTCCTCTAAACCCAGGTAGATTGATGCCTTTGCCACATTCCTTCTCTTCACAAAGGGACCACCAGTTATCACATGAATGGGATCAACTATGAGGAGGCCCTGTCCCATATGGCCAAGCCTCTTGTAGGCAAAGAACAACAATGTGGATTCTAACCCTATCTTAGCTTCTTACTCCTTGCATGACCATGACTTTAGGCACCACCTGTAACTCTGACATACAAACTATATAATGAAGGAAACAAAACTGTGAGTGTGTTTGTTGTTTTTATTTTTCATTAATGGCAATTGTCCAGGATTAACCCTGTGTTCTGCTGTTACTACTGACATTTCTCTATACTGTTTTTCTGGTTTTAAGATTGCCTACTAACCAGAAGAAAACTCAAATATATTTTCAGTACTTTGGTATTTTAATATTTCAAATACATATTTGTAAAGAAAGTTTTATAGATAATATATACTTGAACCCTCTAATTATTTAGATTCTATTTTAGTTTTAGTTTTTTTCAAATTTTCAATTATTTTACCTAGATCTCTATTCATCTTTGGCTACTGTCTTCATAGGTTTTGTTGTTATCTTTGTGTCTAAGTCTATTCACTCTAGGATTGTGTGACCTTATTTCAGAGAACTGTGTATTTTTTTTAATCTTTATTTATTTTGAGAGGGGAGGGGCAGAGAGAGGAAAGAGAGAATCTCAAGAAGGCTCCACACTGTCAGCTCAAGCCCAACTTGGAGCTTGATCTCATGAACCATGAGATCATGACCTGAGCCAAAACCAAGAGTCAGATGTTTAACCGACTGAGCCACCCAGGTGCCCTGAACTGTGTGTATTTTTAACCAGACTTATGATGAAGTTGTGCAGCTAAACCACCTGGAAGCACGACTTTTTCATACTAGAAATGTAAGTGTTATCCTTGACTTCTCCCCACCTAATCAGATACCAAAGCCCACTGAGTCTATTTTCCATATAGTTTTTCTCTCCTGGTGAACAGAATTTATTTGCTCAGTAGTATAGATTGAATGTTTATGTCCCTTAAAATTCATGTGTTAAAAGATAATCCCCAGTGTGATTGTATTAGGAGGGACCTTTGGGAGATGATAAAGTCATGAAGGTGGAGCCCTCATGAGTGGGATTAGTGCCCTTATAACAGAGGCCCCAGAAAGTTTCCTTGTCTCTTCTACCATGTGAGGGCACAGTGAGATGTCTGTCTATGAACCAGTAAGAGGGCCTTTTCTGTATACTGTGCCCTTAGCATCCCTTCATCTGGACGTTTATCTGTATCCTTCGTCGTATCTTTTTATAATAAAAGGGAGTGGGAAGTAAACTTCTCCTGACTTTTGTCAGCCGTTCTAGCAGATTAAGCAGATTTGCAGAGGGGGTCATGGGAACCTCTAATTTATAGCTCATTGGTCAGAAGCAGGAGTAACAACCGGGGCTTGTGATTGGCATGGCGGGGGAGGGGTAGTCTTAGGGGACTGAGCCTTGAATCTGGGATCTGATACTATCTTTAGGTAGATGGTGTCAGAATGGAGTTAAATTGTAAGACACCCATCTGGTGTTGCAGAATTGCTTGATGTGGGGGAAGAAAGGTCCCTCACATAATCTGCTGTCAGAAGCATACTGAGATGTTCTGTTTGAGCAGTAAAGGAGAAACACAGGAGGAAGAATATAAGTTGTCTTTACAATAACCTAACAAAATATGTTTGGTGCAGTCAAGGCAGTATCAAGAGGGAACTTTATAGCACTAAATGCTTACATTAGAAATAAGAAAAGGTTGGGGCGCCTGGGTGGCTCAGTCGGTTAAGCGTCCGACTTCGGCTCAGGTCATGATCTCACGGTTTGTGAGTTCGAGCCCCGCGTCGGGCTCTGTGCTGACAGCTCGGAGCCTGGAGCCTGCTTCTGTTCTGTGTCTCCTTCTCTCTCTGTCCCTGCCCAACTTGTGCTCTCTCTCTGTCTCTCAAAAAATAAATAAATGTAAAAAATTAAAAAAAAAAATAAGAAAAGGTCTTGGGCACCAGGGTGGCTTAGTCATTAAGCATCTGACTCCAGCTTAGGTCATGATCTCATGGTTGGTAAGTCTGAGTCCCACATCAGGTGAGCTTGAACCCTGCTTCGGGTGAGCTCAGGTCCCGCTTAGGATAAAACACAAACCCAGGTGAGCCCTGCCTCTCTCTCTCTCTCTCTCTCTCTCTCTCTCTCTCTCTCTCTCTGCCCCTCATGGGATTCTCTCTCTCTCTCTCTCTCTCTCTGTCTCTCTGACCCCTCACTCGTGCATTCTCTCTCTCAAAACAAACAAACAAATAAATAAAAGGTCTCAAGTCACTATTCTGAGTTCCTACATCAAGAAACTAGAAGAGTAAAAATAAACCCAAGCCAAGTAGAAGGAAATAAAAGTGAGGTCTTTTGTAGACATAGATAAGCTCTTTCTAAAATTTACATGGAAAAGCATAGGCTCTAAAATAGCTGAAATAATTTTGACAAAGAATAAAATGGGAGAAACTCCCCAATATCAATGCTTACTCTATTGGTACAAGACAGTGTAAAAATGGACATGTAATCAAGATCATCTAGCATAGACAAAGGGATATACACACAGGTCAGTGGAACGAAAGAGAATCCAGAAATAAACTCACATAAATATGCGGAACTAATTTTTAACAGTTGTATTGAGATATAATTCACACACCATGCATTCACCTATTCAAAATGTACAATTTAATGTCTTTTAGTATATTCACGGATTGTATAACTCACCACAATCTAACTTGAAAGTATTTTTGTTGCCACAAAGAGAAAATTAGTGTTCATTCTTTATCCCCTCCCATCAGCCCTAAGCAACATTAATATGCTTCCTATCTCTACAAATTTGCTTATTACGGCTATTTCACAGAAACAGTCACATACAATATGTGCCCCTTTGTTACTGGCTTCTTTAACATAGTATGATGTTTTCAAGGTTCATCCACGTAGCATATGTTGGCACTTCATTACTTTTATCACTTTTTATGACTGAATAATATGGGCACTTGGGTTGTTTCCACTCTTTGGCTACTATGAATAATGTTGCTATGAACATTTGTGTACTAACTTTGCACATATATTTTCATTTTTCTTAGGTATATACCTAGGACTGCAATTTCTGGGATCATATGGTAACTCTGTGTTTAACTATTTGAGGAATTTCTAGAATGTTTTCCAAAGCAGCTGCATCATTGTAAACTCCCACCAGCAATGTATGAGGGATAAATTTCTCCACTTCCTTGCCAACACTTGTTATCTTTGATTTTAGCCATCCTAGTGGGTGTGAAGTGGTATACCACTGTGGTTTTGAATTGCATTTCCCCAAGGACTACGAATGTTGAGTGCCTTTTCATGTGTTTATGCAGCATTTGTATATCTTCTTTGGAGAAATGTCTATCCAAATCCTTTGTCCATTTTTATTTATGTATTATTTTGAGAGACAGTGTACATACATAGGGGAGGGGCAGAGACAGAGAGAGAATCCCAAGCAGGCTCTGCACTGTCAGCATGGAGGCTGATGCGGGGCTTGAAGTCATGAACCGTGAGACAATGACATGAGCCGAAATCCAGAGTGGGTCGCATGACTGAGTCATCCAGGCGCCCCTTTTGTCCATTTTTGTATTTGTATTCGTGTTAATCAGTTGTAAGTGTTCTTTATATATTCTGGATACAAGTCCCTGTCAGATATCTGAACTGATTTTTGACATAGGTACAAAAGCAATTTAATGGAGGAATAGCCTTTTCAACAAAATAGTGCAGGCCATTAGACAGTCATGACCAAAAAAGAAAAAGAAAAAAAAAAAAAAAGAGGGAGAATTTTGACCTCATATTAAAAAAAAAAAAATTAAATAGCCTTAAATTTGCTCCAAAACTAAGCCCTAAAACAATAAATGTATTGCATCTTCATTGTGACAATTGAAGGCAAAATAAATGAGTCCTCTGTCTCTGAGGAATATATACTTTATTTCTACTTCTCAAGATTATGTAATTAGATTATTACATTAAACTTAGTTGCTGGGCAGACATCTATTTGCTGATTACTTATTCGAAATTGATAACTGTATTTATTATGCAAATGAACATAAATTTGATTCATTTAGTGACTACTGCCAAGCTTTTGTAGAGGGTTCTGCCAACAGAAGCAGCTTAGGAAATAATGGCTGAAACAAAAAATGTTACCACAAAATTTCAGGCTATGAATACCTAATCTCTTTATATATTTGTGAAATGTGGGAAAGGCTGTAAAAACCTGGAAGTTAATTGATGTGTCTTAACTTACCAGAGGTTTGTCTATATGGTCTGCAAAAGCAAAGGAGAAGATAAACACAAAAACAACTACAATTTTTGTGGATTGTGTTCCTTTTACTTTTTAAACAGGAACAGTTTTCCAGTATTGACGCCTTGGTGCAATTGTAACAGCTTAGTTCCTCCTCAAAAAAAAAAAAAAACAAAAAAAAAAAAACAAACCAAAAGTACTTTCACGTATTGCTTCACCATCACACAATTTTTATTAAGTTGTAGTTTTCAAAACGATAGATGTACCATTATTGAATCATACTTCTACACGTAGCCATATTGTTTACATTCAACATTTTATTACTATAAGCGATTCAATTAATATCTTTGGGAATTTGCATTTAAAAAACTTCCGGGGCGCCTGGGTGGCTCGTCGGTTAAGCGTCCGACTTCGGCTCAGGTCACGATCTCGGTCCGTGCGTTCGAGCCCCGCGTGGGGCTCTGTGCTGACAGCTCAGAGCCTGGAGCCTGTTTCGGATTCTGTGTCTCCCTCTCTCTCTGACCCTCCCCCGTTCATGCTCTGTCTCTGTCTCAAAAATAAATAAACATTTAAAAAAATTAAAAAAAAAAAAAAAGCTTCCTCAGTAGAAAACTTCCCAGCTCATATGCTTTTTGTCATCGGTGACTTTGGTGAGAGAGTTGCATGGAAGCGCTGGAGGCCTAATTTCGGAAGGGTTGAGACTCGAATAGGAGTTAATGAAATACATTCAAAGACATAGGCTGAAGTATAGGAATAAGTGGGTAGATAGAACTGAATGATCTATAAACTTTTTTTCTTTTCTTTTTTAAAAGTTTATTTATTTTTTAAGTAATCTCTACAGCGAAGGAGGGGCTTGAACTCACCACCCCAAGATCAAAAGCCACATGCTCTTCTGACTGAGCCAGCCAGGCGCCCCAAACTGCTGTTTCTCTTTATAAGAAAACTGTCACTTCCCAGTATATTAAAACAATTAAAAAAAAATTTTTTTTTCAACGTTTATTTATTTTTGGGACAGAGAGAGACAGAGCACGAACGGGGGAGGGGCAGAGAGAAAGGGAGGCACAGAATCGGAAACAGGCTCCAGGCTCTGAGCCATCAGCCCAGAGCCTGACCCGGGGCTCGAACTCACAGACCGCGAGATCGTGACCTGGCTGAAGTCGGACGCTTAACCGACTGCGCCACCCAGGCGCCCCTAAAACAAATTTTTTTTAATGTTTACTTATTTTAGAGACAGACAGAGCACAAGTGAGGGAGGGGCAGAGAGAGCCCGAGACAGAATTTGAAGCAGGCTGCAGGCTCTGAGCTGTCAGCACAGAGCCAGACGCGGGGCGCCAAAGTCGGACACCCAACCGACTGAGCCACCCAGGCGCCCCAGTGTGTGTGTGTGTGGGTGTGGTTGGTTTGCGTGTGTGTGTGTGTGTGTGTGTGTGTGTGTGTGTGTGTGTGTGTATTTAGTGAGTTTCTCCCGTATTAGAAGGTCAGCCACGTGAGGGTGGGGATTCTCTTGCGCGGGTTCAGGTGTGTCCCCAGCGCCTGCAACACTGCCGGGCACACAGGGGACGCTCAATAAGAGCCCAATGAGACGAGGAGGAGAGAGAAGACATAAAAGGAACGGAAGTAAGGACACCCGGCACCCGGGCTCCGACCCACCCGCCCGGACCTGCTGACCTCTCCCCAGCGCTCCGGCCCGCACACCCAGTCAACCAGCTCCGCTTCCGTCCCGCGAACCGCTCACCTTGCAAGCCCAACCAGGGAATCGGGCCCGCGGGCCCGTGCACTGCGCGTGCGCACCTCAACCCCGCCCGGCTTGGGCCCCTACGGGGACCGAGGACGGTGCGCCTGCGCACTCGGAGCCGGCGCGTCCAGGCCGGGGCGGGACTCGGTCCGCCAGACCGGGCTGGGCGGGTCCTGGCTCTGGGTCGGAAAGCCCGGAGTTTCGGGAGAGGGGCGCAGACGCCCAGGGGCGGGAGCAGGAGCCATCTGCCAGCCGTCCCAGGATGCCCAGCGCCGCGCGCGGCCTGGACTCCATTTCCCGGCGGCCCCCACGGCGGGCCCCGCTGCCCGCCCGCGCGCCGCGGCCCCTTTGTG